GTGATATGTATCTCACTGTGGTGATGACTAATCAAACCCCTATTTGACAAACTCTGTTCATCTGTAACTTGGTGGTCCTTCAGTCTGATCAGGGACCGGTGGTGGAAAGTAATTAAATATATCTACTCAAACACTGTACTTACAGTACTTTTGTGTGCATTCAAATCTGTATTGACATGTTTTATTTGTGATTATCATCCAATAAGCAGCTTTGTGCTGAGAGTGGACAAAGCCATCATGATATCGCAGTGAGCAGAGGAGATTTTGCAGAGCTCTCCTGGCATAAATCAAATCAACATAAAGGGAAATATACAAAACACTTAGATCTACTCGTGTTAAATGTCTAGGAGGTCAAAGTGAAACCATCTTTTCTTTTATGAAGGTTAAATTGCAAAGAACTTGCAGGAATGAATGAAACCTAATTCATGCCAGTGATGCTGTCTTTAGAGTACAGATGCCCAGTGTTAAAGCTTCGGCAGCCAGCAGCAATGGAGTCATGGAGATTTTGACCACTTTCACAAGTAACTGTTTGGTTGCTGTGTTGGAGTCGCTTCAGTAAATACTGTATGTGTAGCGTTGATCAGTGAAAGCAGTCATAGAAACCTAGTTTTATTTCAGGTCATTAAAACTTGGAAATAATTTTACATCTTCTTGATTAGAACATGATCTAAATGATAAGCTGTTAGCCTGCTTCTTGCCATAACATGGTTGTTAATGACCTCCAGTCAGGTATTATTATGTTTTTTCTAATATGTCATTATAGTCTCTGTTATCTTTCATGCAAAAGTTACATGAACCTTTCTGTTTAAATGTCTGTTGTTCCCAGAGGAGATCCCCTTTCGTTCAGCTCTTCCTGCTCCTCAGGTTGTAGTCGGCCCTCCTGGTCCAACAGGTCCTGTCGGCCCCTCAGGTAGGAATATAATCTGTTTTCAAACCATGTGTTAGAGGAAAACACCAAAGAATCACACAGCATGTCCTCAGTCCAGCACAGTTCACGAAACTCCCTCATTACATTTGCACATTGTATAGCCAAGCACTGTTCATATACACAGAGAAACCCCAAAACAGCCAAATATAGCAAGTCTTTCATGCCAATTAGCCTGAGAATGTGTAAGAAGAAGAACTTGAACTCAGTTACAGCAATTATCCATTTGATGTTGTTATGCAGGGTGGCAGAGTGGTGCAGTGGTTAGCACTGTTGCCTCACAGCAAGAAGGTTTTGCATTTGAATTCTGACTGGAGCATTCCTGTGTGGGGTTTGCATGTTCTTCCTGTGTGACTCTAAATTACCTGTATGTGTGAATGTCAGTCGGTAGATAATGTGTGGATGTTATAATGCAGTGGTACATTTGTGAAACCATTTTTATTTTGGGAAAAGTTTAAGTGAAACATTAGAACAAAGGGGTTCAAATGGTTAATTGTGTTTATTTTGTGAACCCTGATAAATCTCTATCATGGGACAATATAATTCTTGAATTAAATCAAGCGATGTTAAATTGACTGAACTGAATTTTGACATTGCACAGTAGTCAAAGCCCAACTTCAACATTTTACAGTCATGCCCCTGACTGTGTGAATTTTTTCATGTGTGACACTCCAGGCCCTGCAGGACCGAGAGGAGCGGTGGGCATACCAGGCCTGCCGGGACAAGACGTGAGTATCTGTCACTGAGAGCTGATTGTTCATTAATGTAAACATGAATCTATGACTGACATCATTAATACATGTCCTTCTGTTTATCTGACATGAGGGCCAGGAAGGCCTCCAAGGCAGACCAGGGATGCCCGGGCCTAAAGGAGATCCAGGGGAAAGGGTGAGGCTGCTTTAAGAATCATCCTCACTATTTGATGATGATGAACTATAAAAATTCTTTTTATTCTACATTTTGTAAATAGACCTATTCATCATGTGATTTTAAACACATTAAAGGTGAACAAGCTCACAAGACTTACTCAAAGCCATGACTAATCCTACTCGCTCTGTCTCATTCAAAGCCAGGCCTCACTAATCTGAGCAGCCATGTCAAGTCCCCTCTGTAGTCAGCGCGAATACAGAATCCAAGCCAATGATATGTGCAAGTCCTAAATGACTTCTCTCTGTTTTACTCCACAAGGGGCCTCCAGGTGTATCGGGCGAGCGGGGCCTACCTGTGAGTACAAAGTTACTGTGTTAAACGAAGCACACATACTGTGCACACAGTCACCCAACACAAAGATAACAAGATTACCTTACTGTTTTCAAAGGGAGCACCAGGACCAAAAGGAGAAGCAGGGGAAGGCTTGAATGAGGTAAGAAGCATTAGTGCCCCCCAAAGTTAATTTGAAAATGTGTCCTGAATAAACATGGTGGTTTTGTTCAGGTTGAGGTGGTGCAGCAGCTCAGGGAGGCCTTGAAGATCCTGGCCGAGAGAGTCCTGATCCTGGAGCACATGATCGGCATTCACGGTGAGAGGACAATTAGAGGAAAGATGGTGTTTTTTATCTGCTGCAAAGAATGATGACGTTAAAGGAATAGTTTGCCATATTATTAGATGAGAAGATTGGTAAGATGATTGATCTAACACCAGAGCCAACAGCCAGCTAGCTTAGCTTAGCACAAAGACTGGAAACAGGAAAAACGGCCCGACTGGCTCTGTCTAAAGGTAACAAAATGTACCAGCAAACCCTCCCAGCATCTCTGAAACCCACACATTAACACCATATATCTCATATAGAGCTGCGACAATTAGTCAATCACTTCAGTATTTTTAAGCAAAAATAGCAAACATTCTCCCAGATGTGAATTCAAAGTGTAAGAACAGGCACAAACCCCCCAGTAAAACCCCCAATAAGTGACCCTTAGAGGTGCTGGTAGGTGGAGGGTTGTGAGAGTACTTCCAAAAAATGGCAAACTATTCATATATTTCAGTATTTTTGCGCTGGCTGTTGTGCTATTTTTCATGTGTCTACACAGAGAACTCTGAAGCATCTGGATTTGTCGGTTTTTCGGACCCGCTGTTGTTCTCTGCCATAAACATCAAACGCCTTCAACCTGTTCAAACGCCTCTTCAAACTCCACTACTGGGAGAGAGACAGAGACAAGCTCCCTTTTGAGAGTACAGTCTAATTTTGTATTTGTGTTGATAATTGTGAAGGATGTTGCAAATTTTGCTTAACTGGACATGCAATATGTGTTTATATATTTTTTCCACATACCTTTGTTTTTTTGTCTAATTGTATTTTTTATTTGTTACTGTTGTAAAGTGAAGCTCTTTTCAGACATGAGATGTTGAGCATTTCATCCATAAAAAGGTATTATTGAGCCTTTTTCAACTCGTTGCTGCATGATCTTAGTCTGCATAAACTTAGCAGCAGCTCTTACAATGTGATGTACAATGAAACATAATCTTATAAAGTGTTACGAGGTTTTTGGCATCTTTCTTTCTTCAGATCAAAGGCTGCCTAGTAAACACATCAGTTTCCTTGGCTCAAAGTTCCCATGAGATGGACCCAAAATGAACTATTTAGTGTCAAACACATTCTTGGAATGACTGAGGTTCACCTTGTATTAGCCTGTCAAACATATGGCTTCCCCTCATTTCTTTATGTCTCTCTTTGTGCCCTGCCTTGTTGAAACAGAGGTAAGACATGACAAGCTGCCAATAGAGTTAGGTAAAATGAATAGCATCTGGACAGCACACATCTGGAAAGCAAAAGAAAGATGTAATGAAACAGCTGAGTTTTGGCCTGGAACCCACAAACCCTGTTTGGTTCCACACATTTGGCTGATAGAGCACAAACTTGACAGGATTACATTGACTTCTTCATACAACACCTCTAAGATTTGTTTCCAAACTGATATGATTATCATATAATAAGTCTCTGAGAGACTGAGCCTGTCGTCCTCTGAATAAAACTTTCACTGTGTCTGGCACAGTCATTGTTTTTTTCCATCGCAAAGTTCATGAGCTAAAGCGATAATTCCACATTTCTGTATACACTGATTCACTTAGACGGGAGGCTTGATGCCACTCTCATTTCTGTCCATTAAATATAAAGCTACAGCAAGCAGCTGATTAGCTTAGTGTGAAGACCGAAAACAGGAAAACAGCTAACCTGGTTCTCTCAGAATATAACAAGTCCTCCTACCAGCACTACCAACCTCAAGGGGACTCAGAGGAGGAATTTCTGACAATGAAGATATCTCGCACCTAGTAAAAAGAACTACCGCAGCGTCAAAAAGGTGAAGAAGGGCTGCAAAGCTGTTATTGCTGACATTTAAATTTAAATAAATTTACATATTAACACTAGTAAAACCAAGACACCTCATTTTGAAGGAGCTATACACTGTTATTGTATGTCTTGTGTTAATGAAGTGCTACAGGTTGGTCACACAATAAAGAAGCTAATTTAGGATGGTTGTTTGATGTGACTACAGGGTCTTGGAATAACACTCCCAAGTTTGAGTAAC